GCAACAAAACACATGCAAACATGCAAGATGTAAGGGCCCAAAGCCTAGGGCACAAGATACAACCGTGTGAAAGCATGGAAAGGATGAAATATGGCATATAACAACACATGTTCCAGCTCTAAAATGACATGCAAGATGGTCCTAAATCATGTAAACAACTCATGTTATGCATGTTGAATGGCTCAAATACCGAAACTAGTGAAGTGCATTACACTAGAGGTATGCAAAGCAATGCCCAAATGAACAAACCAACCCCAAACAGTCCCTATGCAGGCCCAAAATAGTGGCAAAATGGACTAAGATAATGACTTGAAATGCACAAAAATGAAGCTCATGCAATAGCCCATAAATGAGGTATACAAGCACAACTCTCAAACGCATTTAAAGAGTGAAAAACATGGGAACATGGAACAAGTATAGGCTCTGAAATAACATGCTCAATGATCCCAAGAGATGGGAACACCTCAAGTTAAGCATGCAAGGGGCTCCAAAACTCAAGACTAGGCAAGGATATTACACTACAAGTATGCATGGCAAGCATTATTCGACCAAGAGGCCTTAAAATAGAGCTAAGGCAGCCCAAAATATGAACAAAATCAGTTTGAAGTATGGCCAAAATATGCTAGAATCAATGGCCAAAACAACATGCAATGTAAGGTAGTGAGCATGGTTTACACTACAAGCATGTGAAGTATTCAAGAGGCCACTAAACCAGCCAAAGATAGAGCTATGATATGCCAAAGAATTCCCAAAAACCCACTGAAACATGACCAATACATGCAAGAATGACATGCTCCTTTGATAAGCTATGAAGAGGATTATTCTACACATGCAAGAGGCAAACAAAAGGGGACCAAACCAGCCATGGTCAGAGCCTAGGCAGGTCCTAGAAGTCACCAAAAAGTGCCTGAACAAGGTCTCCAACTGGTATAAACATATGCTCCTTTGGTAGGCCAAAAATGCTAGTAAATAAGACAACAAGAGAGAGGGTCACCCCTCTCTGATCTAGGCCCTAAAAACCACATTATCACCACTGAAAATCCATTGGATTTTAGTGGTAGGAAGGCCAAGTAAAGACTAGCTCGAATGCCTTATGGTATGGCACAAAACAAAGCTAAATAGAGCATGCAAGAGGGTAGATGACCCCCAACAACAAAATGGCCTTAAATAAACATGAAAAACACTTAGAAATAAAGCTTTTCTTAGTTGACAACAAAGCCTAAATATGCATGCAAATAAGGCTAAGAGAAGGATCAAAATAGAGCTTAAAAATGGAGAAAATGAGTTACCCTTGAAGCTCAACAAAACCAGCCACTTCTAGACCCAAAACACAGCTTCTTAACCTCTAAAAATGGCCTCCAAGAACCTTAGGTTGATGGTGGAAGTGTTAGGCTATGAGGTGGTGTGCAAAGGGCCAAGAATCACACACTTTGGAGCTCAAAATAGTGAGATATAGAGAGGGATATATATTTTGCCTTAAACAAATTTTTTGGAACCATGTATAAGGAGAGGGAGCAAAGGTTCAAGCTTCCTCAAGAAGCTAGAACAAGGGTTCAAGCTTCCTTAAGAAGCTAGAGCAAGGGTTCAAATCCTCCATATACATGTATGGAGGATACAGTCTGTGCCTTCCAACTGGCACAACTGGCAACAACTCATAGAGACAAAACTGCAGGGAGCAAGCCGACCAGTTAAGGTGGTCGGCCGACCAAGGCAAGTGGTCTCCCAAAAAAAAGGTGGTCAGCCAGCCTATTTGATGGTCTCCCAACTGAATGCAAGCCAGTGGTATGGTAAAAGACCAGCAAATGTGGCCCAAATATCAAGAAAACCAGTTTCTTGACAAGAAAATCGGCTGGTGGGGAAAAGTGGTCTCCAAGGAGAAAAGGTGGTCTCCCACCCATGTACCACCTCCCAAACAAGGAAAACAAGGTTCATGCCAAAAATAAACCAACGCGGACGCAAAACGAGAGTTCGGGAGGGCAAAACGCGCGGCCGGGTGCCCCAAAAACTGGCTGTTGAGCACAAAAGGTGGTGTATGACCACAAAAGTGGTCTCCCGGGCTGCAGTGTCCCTCTAGACAGAGGAAACAAGGTGTGTTCCAAAAATCGTGCCAAACGGAGAATGTTAAGCGGTCCCGAACCAAGGCGTGCGACCGATGGCTTCGGAAACTGGTCTCCAAATGGGAACAGTGGCTTGCGACCACAAAAAGTAACCTACGGCCACTGAGAGATGGTCTACAAGATCTCTCCCTCCCTCCAGGATGAGAAGCCAAGACCTGGTCCGCAAACCGAGGCAAAGTATAAAAGGGTCCCAAGGTCCGGGGGTAAGGACCTCAGCTGAAACTCCGAAACCTCAGAACGAGCACAACATGCGCAATCACCGAGCGCTTAATCGATGACGTCTGAATCTTAAGGCCGGTCAAAAATGGGGTGTCTACACATACCCATTTTGTACCAAGTTCCATAAACTTTGGGGCTAAAATAAGGTCTTCATCCTCACACACCAATAATCATAATTTTCTCTAGCAAAAATGGGCATAGATGGTTGCTAGATACCCATACTTTGGTTGCTTGAGTTAGCCATGGAGATTTTCTGCAAAACCCATTTTTTTTCTTCACGCACTTTCTATTTTCAACCCTCTTTTTCAAATCGAAGCTTCCGCTTCGAACTTGACTTTGATACCACTTTATGTTGGGTGTTTTAAAAACAAATGTGTGTTTAAACTACAGAAAAATCAATCTAAAACATACAAAATCAGATTTGATTTTTTCTGTAGAAAATAGAGAAGAAGAAGAGTAAAACAGAGGATAAAAGGGATCTAAATAGAACAATCCCTTGAGCAGATTTTTCTATTCCCCTTTTAGATTCCCTTACAAGCTTTATATATGTAATTACATCAACCCAAGTACAACAAAACATCTGGACAAATTTCTTCCACATAAATTAACTTTAATCAACAAAACCTAACCCAAAACATAACTAGAGTTAACTAAACATAAATGATTGTTTGGATACAAAATTAAACAAGCACATTACAACAACATACCTTATTTAGAGACTAAACATTTTAGTCAAAAAGTCACTATAAGTTATCATATCACTATTTCTACTTTTCTGAATATTTTTTCATAAAAAAAATCAAAAAGTTATTAAAATAGTCTATTCGCAGACAAGGCCTTAATCATCATGAAAGAAAGTTAACTCTAAGGAAATCGAAAAGAAAGGTTTAAAAAAAAAAACACAAAAAAAAAAATTGAAGACGGCTCTTCTAACAACATAATAAATTGCGTTAGATGTCATAAAACCGATCCCTTTGAAAGGAAAACAAAGGAAACAAAAATGGTAAAGAACCCTAAAAACAATCGAACCAATTGTACCCTTCCTTCCCCTACAATCATAAAATACACCAAAAAACAGAATCCCCCTTTTATTAATGGAAAAATACACCATATATCCTCATAACACCTCCAGTAAATAATATTTATACACAAGTACTCTTGAATTTGGAGTTCTTAGTGCTTTAAAATTTCAAGTTCATGCATTGTAAAATATAAAAGGTGTTCAGTCAAAATTCCAAAACTAGATAAAACAATAATCCAAACCAAATTTCTTGAACTAGCCAACTAAAAAACCAAAAAACAAACACAAACAAATTGAAGCCTAAAACTAAATCATCCAGTAGTGCTTACTATATAAACAAATAGATAATCTCTCCGTTCCTTCAAGTTACTTGATATCACCAGTCTGCGATGGCATCCTACAGCAACTAGGGACACTATTCTCAAGACCCGGAAACCATTCATCTATGTGGGCATCAGATTGAAACATCGAACCTTTCAGTTCCTCATCGAGTCCTCTTAGCTCAAGCGCCCAGCAATGTAGATTTTGATTCATCGATTTCGGCCTCATGTTGCTCTTCATACCATCAATAGATTGTGGTTGATTCAAAGTCAATTGCATAGTGTGCGTACCGGATTCCGCACTAGATGAAAGTGGATCGGGGCTCCGCACTCGGTTAGACTATCCAGGGACTGAGGTTCCTGCCATGAGGAGCACCGCTAGAGCTGCTCGGCCGAGGTTGGCCGGATAACCCCTCCGGTGTGGAAATTAGTGATCGGAGAGATAATGTATATCGAGTTGAGCTTGTAGTTTTACTCGGAATTGTTCAGTTACCTTCAATGTGAAGTTCACGTTGTATATATAGTGTTCCTTGCCTGCTTCTCAAGGTGGGTTCATGGAGTTTGGATGCTGCCAGGTGTCCTTTTAGCATTTCTTAAGGTGGGGGACCACCTGGTAGTTGTCATTGAATGCATATACTCATTGTAGTCATGCTGATAACAAACCACATTCCTTTGATTCAACAACTTCGGTGATTCTAGGTGTAGGGGACCAGCTGAGGTGGCAACTTGCACATGTACACATTCACAACTTCCACGTTTCCTTGTGGGGTTTCCTCAGCTCGGTACCGCTGTGCCTCAATTCGGCATCATTATGCCTTGTCTCGGCCTTTTACAAGATCATTCATGGAGATGGGCTGATCCATTCGAATATCTTTGTATGGGCTCGGCCTATTTTTTGCTCAGCCCATAAGTTCAGTCTTGCAGCTCGGCCCAGCCCAACACCACGGCTGGACTAGCCTTTCCACTGCGGGTTGGGCCCAAGTGCTTGAGGACCTGGGTGGACTATTGATCATGAAGTTGGGCTCAATTGGTTTGTCCATATACTCCTCCAGCCCACTTGGATTCGAGCTTCAATGGATTGGGCCGGCTCAAGGCTTGGACCCGACCCATTTCACATTTAGCCCCTTCACATAGCTGGTTGGATTGGCGGCTTATTGACATCATAAGGATAATTGAAATATGTACTATTAGCCATCATTACCTGATCATGATTGAAATAAAGTTGAGGAGTTTGCAGAAAATGTGAATTAATAAATGCATTTGGATTCACTTTGCCATTGTAACCACTGTCCATTTCCATAGCTTCACCTGGAATTAAACTTTCTAGAGATGGCAACATTGCAGAGTTTTCAGCAGTAGATGTTCATTATAATAATGTTCAGCTGGAACAACTTCCTCATCATCAGGATATCGGTTTCTTATGCTCCTTGATCTGTGTACATTCTTGTAAATCTTACACAAAACACAATCATCTAACTGTAAACAAGAAAAGTAATCATGGTAGTAGTCAGTGCCACTAGAAAATATTTCAACAATTAAGGAAACAAAAAAAGTTTAAAACTGTGCCACAGTAACTTTAGTGATGTATTAAAAGGTGAATAAAAACAGTAAATTTATGTGCGAAAAAAAAATAAAAAAAAATACTAACTTCAAACAAGAGAGCAATCACAGTGTCAAATTGTATGAATATCTATCCACTACAACATATAAGAGTTTTAGAAACTAAATGTTTTGGTTTCTAAAAGTGAAAATTTTGTTGCAAAAGACATTTAGGGATCAATTTCCATCGCCATGAGGATAGTCGCTAAAAGGGCGTCTTAAAAAGTCAAAAACAAGGCTTTTGGCAACAAAATTTTGAAAATGTTGCTAATAATTTGGTCCCAAAAGGGTTTATTTTTTCAAACAAAAAATTTGGTCCCAAAAGGATAATAATTCACCACTAATGTCCAATTTTCGTTACTAAAAATATAATAATGACACTTTTCGCAATTAAAATATTTGGTCCCTAAAAAATAATTGTTTCTAATTTTTGGTTTTTTATTTTTTATAGTGATGTCTAATCAACATCATAATTACTGCGGAAACATGTCAAAAAATGAATAGAAATATTTATGATGTGTAAAAAAAATCACAATCAATAACTAGGAAGAATGTTGTGTGAATAACAATACAATACCAAAACAATCAGGTGATGAACACATGCAGATAAGTATAACTTCTATTTTGCTAATATATATACACATAAATAGAGAGACAGATAACCTGCCCTCATTTCATTTCCAACAGTTGGAGCCTTAGGATGATTGTTTGGTAATCGATATTCATGCATAATCTAGTTGGTTTTTTTGCCTTTGGGAGGTATTCCTTTGTAGAATACTAATGTGGTTCTAAAGTCAACATCGACACCCACAAATCTCACAGTCTTATTAGTACCGGTAACCTTCCAGTATCCATCACCTGCAGCTCGATTTGGCCGCTTCCCATTCTTATACTTTCGATCTCTTGGTGTAAAGAAATACCATTCCTTCTCTTCATATGGCTTGTAATTTTCTGTTAATTAACACCAGACATAATATAAATAAAACTCATTGAACATGTTAGACTATTAGCTGGCCCTCATTCCTTAAAACTTCATCGAATGTTAGAATATACAATTCATAAACCAAAGAATGAATATGCATACATCAAAGGAAGAAATAAAAAGAAATCAGAATGAGTTACATTACATATGATTCCAAAATTTCAATATGAGTAACAAAACTAATGCAATATTGGGACAATCAAATCTGGAAGAACCCATTAGGTATATCATAGCAGCCAACATGATCTTGTTAATAGCCGATCAAAAAAACATGATCTTGTTAATATCCATTCAAATCACATAAGAAAAATAAAAAATAATGAGAACATACATATTCAAGAAATAATGATAGCAAAAGACAAATAAAAACCTTTAAAGCTTTAGAAAAAATTTATAATAAACTATTTTTTTTAATACATTTTCTGTTTGAAGATCAGTTTTCTTTGATACTATATATTGAAGAACATGACTACATATTGAAGAACAGGAACACCTATTCAAGAAATAATGATAGAAAAAGACAGATAAAACCCTTAAAGCTTAAGAGAAATCTGTATCACTTTTCTTTGATACCACATATCCAAGAACATGAATACGTATTGAAGAACATGAATACATATTGAAGAAATAATGATAGAAAAAGAGAAGATAAATAAAACCCATAAAACTTTAGAGAAATCTAATAATAGACAGTGTGTATATATATTCAAGAACATGGATACAAATTCAAGAAAGAAAGAACATGATGTTATATAAGAAACAAAAGTGAAAAAAAGAAAGAAAAGATTAGAAACCTGAAAGATATAGAGGATTAAATTTGTAAAGATGAACATCATGAATCTTGTTGATTGGCAGTGTTTGATGGTTGATCTTTCTCTTCAAGTAGTTAACAATGAGCACTGCATCATTAGGATTAAAACAGTAACCAGGTGGGAGAGAAGCAAAGTACTCATCCACATCCACATCCACATGATCTACATTATTTGCTAGTGTAGAAACTGAAGCTTGTGCTTGTTGTTCTTCAATGGGTTGATATTGTTGATCCTCCATAGTATGTACGTGCGTCTCGGAGAGCAAAACCAAACCCTAATAGAGAAGACGTTTAAACAAGGTGTTCCAAGATAACTCAGAGTTCCACTTGATGTCAATGTGATCTCTTTGTTGCATCAGATATTTACCTTATATATATACTAGCGTATGCCCGTGTCTGAAGGCACGGTACAATTAATGATGAGATTAAAATATAAATCAAAATTAGAGAAGAATGTATTCAAATTTATTGTTTTTTTGTTTTTTTTCTTTTCTTTTCAAAGAGTAGGTAATGAATTCACAGGAAGAAGAAAAATTCCTAAATGAAGACATGAAACTCAAATGAAATACCAATTTATTAGTAACCCAAATAAATTTCAAAAACCCCCAAAATTAGGAACCTCCATGACTCCCAAAATGATGTAAACCAATCATATATTTTTATTGTTTTTATTTCCTTCCTGGACCAATCATAAGTGAGTGAGGGTTATAAAGTTGTATTTTTTAAGAATATGTAGCATTTTTTATATTTTTAATTAAAAAAAATTTTCCCAAGATAAATTGCACTTCCCCCAAATTGCAATCTCTCAATTTTCTCACCCACTCTCTCTCCTCTTCTCTATTACCTTAGTCTCTCTCTCTCCCCAAAGATTGTAAAACATTAATCTTCTCAACTGTCTCTCTCTCTCACCGACTGATATCCCCTGTTCCTCTCTCTTCTCAAACGAAGACTCTCTGTTTTCTTAAGTTATAGATGATAATATTAAATTTTTTTAAAAAATAATTGTAAACTAAAAATAGATTGAACAATTTAATTCCCAATAGAACCCAAGCATCATATTAAAGAATATTAATGAGTTAACGTTGTGCACTAAAATGCTATGAACAACTGATAAAAAAACTAAAAAAAAATCAAATAAAACTATCCATTTGGTTTGCTCAGATGAACACACCATGAAATTGGATCAAGGGACTGGAACAATAAAGCAAGGACCGCAACAACATCCATCCAGCAATATGTACATCAACATGTTTTATAGATCAAAAGAGAAATAATTGTATAACTTAATCAGCATAATCCACAAATCTAAAAGTAAATATTTGTAATCCACTACACAAATTGAAAGAAAAAAGAAAAAGAAGAAAAGAAATCTCTCTAGGAAAAAAGAAAAAGAAGAAAAAGAAATCTCTCAAAGAAAAAGAAAGCCCTAATTTAAGTGTAGAAGATAAGGCGAAAATGGCCAAATAATGTTTCATAGTAGCGGAAGCAAAACAATTCCAAACCAAAAATTAGTATGTGAACACAATTTACAAACCAAACCAATATGAAGAACTCTACATCTCTGCCAAAAACAAAATGTTCACACCACAAAATCTACACATGAAGAATCAAGATTTAAATTAGACATGCTCAACCCCAAAGTCAGAACCAATGCAATTCAAAATCTGTCACATTAGCTAAAAAAATACGCAGCATCAAAGAAATAGCAAAAAAAAATTATGAGTTCACCACATAAGAAAGTACTGTCTCCTCTCTTCTGCATCAACATGACGGAAAAAAAAATTCTTTTTTGCAATGCATGAATTTATTCCTTCAAATGATCAGGCCGCTAAAATTCATCCTCTCCAACTAGCACAGAGGAATCAAGAATCTTTACTCTGCTGCAACACTGAAACAAAATCCACGAACCCACATCTGAGATTTAAAGCCACAACATGCAGCCACCACCAACCCTTGAGCTTTTTATTGGTTTACAATTGACAATTTGACTAAATTACAATTACCCACAAGGGACCAACCCTCCAAACCACCACACATTCTAACCTAAACAAACCCTAACCAAAAAGACATAAACCAGCCCACGCACATCATCACAGTACAACTGAACCTCTCTAAAATTACATTATGTGCACAATTACACAATATCTGAACCAACAATCTTTGACATTTGAACCATCTACAATATTAGTGTACTTACAATGGGGTCATTCTAGAATACAGAGCCTTACCATATGTACATTTTTTATATTAATTACATAAATGTCATAACTAAATCATTTTCAATCATAACTTCAAAAAAAGTGTCACAACCAAACACCACGAAAATATATCCAAAGTCATTTTCGATTATAACCAGGATCACCATAGGTCATAACCAACAAAATAATAATCCTGATAGTAGTGTCTAATCATCACCAATCATCTCTTCTACACATCATTGCATCTAAAAAGTAAGTCTAAAAAATAAGCTTCTATATCATTTTAAACACCAGCCATGACCAAGTCATAAACACTACTAATCAACTAATCATAAACACTACTAATCAACTAATCATAAACACCAGCCATGACCAAGTCATAACATAGGAAGTAACCAAAAGACCACAAAAGAATCGTCTCCAATTATAAATTCATTAAAAGAATCAAAGATCTACCAAAGAATCAAAGCACAAGAGGTACATCTCGGTTCAATTTTCAATTATTTATAAAAAAAGTCAGTCTGTGATAAATCAAAAAGAATTTATATATTGATCATATCTACTGTTGTACTTTTGATTTTTGTGTTTAGGCAAATTGTTAACAATAAGAAAAAAATTCAAATAATTATGAGGAAAATAGAAAATTTTATTGCCAAAAATGCTAATTATTTTAACTTTTGGCAATTGAACAATAATTATCCTTGTGCCTTGAAAAATGATAAAATTTCTAGTGAGCAGATGAAGTGAATAAATTTAATGAAGAACAAAGATTCTCTTATCTGTATACCGGTTCATCCAATATGACTAACTTCGGGTCACCAATTAGGGCAATCGCAATACTAAGGCGGCGTTTCATTCCTCCACTGTAACTACCAGCTCTTATTTTGGCTGATTCAGTGAGTCTCACCTCTGCTAATGATTTCTGTGCCACTTGTGCTTGAGAAAAAATGGACTTATCTTAGAATATAGTAATAACCTTTGGAGTCTATTGTAATTTACACAATATCAAGTGGATACGTAACAAAATGAGTATCCAGAAAATCAGTATCAGGTTTGTATAGCACGCAGCGATTCAATTGAAGAAGGGGGCAAACCCTTAATACTTGCAAAGAGGTAGAGGTGCTCTTGACCAGACAATGCATCCCAAAGAATATCAAACTATGAACAGTGAAACAGAAATCAATAGAAATAATGGGACAATCAAATCTATGATCTCATTGAAAGAGTGAAAACTAAAAAGAAATGGAAAAGTACAAAAGGAATCACCTGGGGACAAACTCCTATGATTCTTCGAATATTTGACATGCCAACAGAGCTCTGAACAGAATCTCCATATATTAATGCTGTACCAAGACATGTCATGGTTGGTTAACTTCCTGTTAAATTTATCCAAACAAATCATAATTGCTTTCAATGAGAATTTACCTAAATTCCATTTTCAATTTCCCCCAAATTATTTTTTCCTAAAGTTATAGCTATCAAAGACGAAGTCAAGATGGAATGGAAATGATATAAGACATAGATATCACAATTGGGCTCTGACCTGATTCGAGTTTCTTCTCCGAATCTAATGGATTCTGGTTCGATTTCCTTCACCAAGACGGTGGTTTTGTGTCCAAGTACATGTTTCCTGATCAAACGCTTCTGATCAAATCTGGAGGAGTCGATCCATCTCCATCTCAAGAGAGGATTCAGTATGGTCGCGATCGCAATGGCAATTTGAACAATAATTATCCTTGTGCACTGAAAAATGATAAAAACTTTATTTATAAACTTGCTTTCAATGAGAATTTACCTAAATTCCATTTTCAATTTCCCCCAAATTATTTTTTCCTGAAGTTATAGCTATCAAAGACGAAGTCAAGACGGAATGGAAATGATATAATCTATAGATATCACAATTGGCCCTGACCTGATTCGAGTTTCTTCTCCGAATCTAATGGATTCTGGTTCGATTTCCTTCGCTAAGACGGTGGTTCTGTGTCCAAGTGCATGTTTCCTAATCAAATGCTTCTGATCAAATCTAGAGGATTCAGTATGCTCGCGACCGCAATGGCCGTGAAACGCTTTGACCTGATTCGAGTTTCTTCTCCGAATCTAATGGATTCTGGGCGATTCACAGTTCGAAGGTTTACGCCAATCGGTGGATCGTTGTGCTTGTTGTTGTGCATCCCATAGATGAACTCAAACATTCTTCAGCCAAGGGTCTGATTTCGAAAGGGGGAGAGACAAAAAGGGAATGGGGACATGTGAGAACAGAAAGGGGGAGAGATAAAGAAGGAATGGGGAAGAGACATGGGTAGGTGGGGGAGAGAGAGAGAGAGCTGAGAGCGTTTGAGCGGGAAAAAAACTGATCTCTACCATTGATATAAATTTGGGATTAATCTTAGCCATTAAATTAAAATGTATCTCACATACATTTTATACATTTTCAAAAACCTTCTTCCCTTATTATATAGATGTGTATTTGACTTATATACCTTATTTTGTTAACTTAGTCTCTAAGTTTATAAACTGCCAACAACCTTTGTTGTAATTTCCAAAGAAATTTGGTGACCAATAATGAGATATGTAACAACCCATATTCATGTCATAGTCATGTTCATGTTCATTTACATAACTTTGTCTTGTTAAGTTTGCATTCATGAATCATGTCTTGTTTTGCTTAAGTGTTGCTTGCATGCTTTGCTCCTTCCCTGCTATGCCAAGCCTAGGTCATGCCAAGCCTATGTCGTGTTAAGCCTAGGTCATGTTAAGCCTAGGTCATGCCAAGCCTAGGTCATGTCAAGCCTAGGTCATGTTAAGCCTAGGTCATGCCAAGCCTAGGTCCTGCCAAGCCTAGGTCATGTTAAGCCTAGGTCATGCCAAGCCTAGGTCATGTCAAGCCTAGGTCACACCTTTGAACCTCTTACCCCTAGGACCATCTTGGAACCACTTTGGTTGACCTCCACCATCACCTAGGCATATTGGCCGAGATGTCATCATCTAGGCCGAGGTGTGCATCACCTAGGCCGAGATGTGCATCATCTAGGCTGAGATGTTATCATCTAGGTGTCCTAGATCCTTGATCCTTGCACCTAGTGATCTTGTTCTGGGACTGGAATGACCTAGACCGAGGTGTGGCACATCTAGGCTGAGATGTGGCACAGCTTGGCCAAGTGTTACCCTTCCTAGTCGAGATCATTGAGACCTTACTTGCCGAAACCTATGTCCTTAGCCGAGATCATTACCTGCCGGAGAGCCCATGTCACCTAGCTTGTTGTATACACTTTGTCTTACACATGTCTTGTCTTTCTATCACCTTTTGAGGAGAACCAACTTGGTAGTGCCACGTGTCCCAGCAGAGAGTTAAATCAGCCGATAGAGAGAGAAAACCTATCATTTCTATATCTTTGTTCTAGGTAGAGAGAGAAGCTCTAGGAAGAGGAAGAGGAGTTCTTGAGAGAGGAGTAGATTTCCAAGCTTGATCCCTAGAGATCGAACCGTTAGATCCGTGTTTTAAGGTTAGATTCTTGGTCTACTCTTGTTGTTCTTATTGTTCATCTAGCTGCATTGCATGATCTAGCATGTTTCATTAGCCATGCATTGCTTTGAAGTTCGATTTTAGAAAGAGAAAGTGATATTCATGTGTTCTTGAGGAAAAGTCATGTTTTGATCTGAAAATTTGTATCAAGATCCATGTTTTCGTGTTTGTTTTCATATGATCTTCAAGTATGGGTACCAAGGTCCATGTTTTCGAACTCATAGCATGAAATTCCAGATCTTGTAATAACAAGTTATGATTTTAGCATTCATGTTCTTCATGCTCATGTTCTTCAAGGAGGAAACCCAGATTTCCAGGCTTCATTTCCCTAGGTGTGATCACCGAGACCACTCTTGCCTAGATCACACGCCTAGGCCAAGCATTGTATCTCACCTTGGCCTACCTTGCATGATCACTTGCACGTTAGTTTATCTTGCATGCACACCTAGGCCAACCACTGCACACCTAGGCTAACCACTGCACACCTAGGCCGACCATGGTACACCCTTGCCGGCACCTTGTAACACCTCGGCAGGTAGCTGCACACTAAAGCCTAGGTAACCACACCTTGGCCAAGAGGTGTGGGACCTCAGCCAAGACCTCCTGAGTTCACCCAGCTAGGTCATTTTAGCCTAGATCATCTCTGTGCATCCATTCTAGGACCTGGTTGGTACCCAGCATGTTTTCCCTAGATGTTTAACATTAATGGCATTGGATAAAAAATGTCTATGCTGAAAAATTGTTAAATTACCTTACTCATTTTAAAATACAGATTATTTAGCTAACATAAATCAATTGGGGAAATTAATGTATTTTTATTGGTATCATTCAAATAAATAAATTCTCCAAATAAACGTCCGAAGAGCTATGTGAGTGGTATTTTTAATAAAGCTATGTTATCATGTTTTGATAAGCTTTACTTTGCCTTGTTTTGAAAAGTATTTGATCAAGCATGAATGATTATCCCTATTTTGTATATCAAGTATTATCTTGTTTTGATGACATTCTTGGAAAGTCCTTAGTGCCAGGGGACTATAATGCAACTGCACCCTTGCTTGAGAGATCTCTGCCATCGACGGTCTGGGATACGGATGGCCCCACCGACGGTCTGGGATACGGGTGGATTTCTCTAATCGATTCCGGGTTGATTATTCCCTTGTTTTGTCTTGTTTTGTCGCCGACAGTCTATGAACGGGTGGGTTTGTTTTGTCAGGAATGTCATCACCCCATGTATTATGTAGATGTTATTAAACATCCCAAGACGATTTGAAAGACTAAGATTTGATTGATGAACTTGATCCATCACATGTTTTGAACAAGCTATGATATATATATTGTTTTGACAAGGACCTCGGGAATCATTCATTTAACCCCTTTATTACTTATACCATTCACTAAGTATTCAAGCTCACCCTCTCCTTATATATATGTAGGTAACAAGCATGAAGGCGGTGACGCCGAGATGTGTTATTTGCAAGATGATGTTTGATCCATGTTATGTCGGCAATATTTATGTCGGCAATCTTGAAGATTATGCTTCTTAGTTGTATTTCATGTATTTTGTATATGTCGGCTTGAGAAGCCTTTTAGTCAAGATGTAATATGTATTTTATTTTTCTTATATTCAAGTTGTAAAGCTATGTAAACATGTATGCCATTTCATTTGACTTTTGCACAGCTCTTACGGACTAATTAGTTTTGTATATATTGCTTCCGTACATGTTAGCCCCATATGTAATACTCTGATTGTGTGTGAATTTTGAAAGTCGGCCTTCGGTAATCTCAGATTACTGGCCATCACGGCACCGTTCTACTAGGGGCGGAATGGGGTCGTGACAGAATGGTATCAGAGCACGCGTTCCTTATAGTACGTTATTCACACACTTTGAGTCCTAAAGAGCATAGGATGTCCCTTAGAATGATGTTAGGATTGTATCATGTTGCTTGCTACTTGACAAGGTGTGCATCATCTCGGCATGATCATTTATTACTTGCATGTATGTTTACTTGCTCATTTTGTTTAAGAGTTACATTTTGCATACCTCCTAGCATCATGAGGAGGGGTAGACCTCCAGTTGGCCGAGATTATCTTGAGGACAGAATAGACAGATTAGAAAGACTGGTCGAAGGTTTGGCACACGAGTTAAGGCAGGAAAGACAGCAGAATACTGGTACCACGTCTACTCAGGCTGAGCAGCAGATGGCCGACATGCAGTTCCACCTCCACTTCCTCCAGTGCCACAAGTGCCTCCGCAGCCAGCTTCGTATGGAGGTGGCACATTGCTCAACACGCCGACGCATGCCGGAGTACTAGACAAGGCCATCTTGGCAGAAGCCAACTTGAACAAGAGTCAGAGTTTTGGGGAGGAGTAGAAAAAGAGACAGACCTATGACGATCGCCCGGACCCGTGTGGTGCCAAGAAGAAGACAAGTGTGGATAGTACTGACAGAGCGAATCAGGAGGGTGGCACTAGGCCGACATGTACAAATTGCAGGAGGCGACATTTTGGAGTTTGTCATTGGGCATCGGGGGCTTGCTTTGAATGTGGCAAGATGGGTCACCGTGTAAAGGACTGTCCGAGGGTGAAGGCTAGAAAAGATAAGAAGAGATGAGAACCCGACGCTCGGAAATTGTTTTGAGGACATGGTAAGCTAAGTTTGGAGGACCAAACTTCTTTAAGGGGGGAAGGATGTTGTAACACCCTCAAAATAATAACATTAAACTAACCACATTTCTTTATTTCATTGAGTTTCATTACATAAGTATTACATGTTAACATCAAAACAAAATGCCCTACGGGCTTATAGCTTTCCAAGTTAACACTTGGTTACAACAAAAGAGTACTAACTCGTTTACACATTAAGCCCTTGGCTTGAAGTTACATGTAATACATCAAAAGTAAAATAACTACACTATGTCCGCCTCTAGCCTCCCAAGCTATGTCCTTGGAGGTGGCATGCTTCCTGTACCTGAAAATGATATTCCCATATAGGGTGAGCCACAGCCCAGTAGAAATACACTAAACCAACCATGGACAATGACTAAAACATTAGCAATTGATAGTTGGTCAACACTGATACAATCACATAAATGAGATATTTAAATCATTATTAATTGTATTTTAAACTTCAATTATTGAATTTTGGTAATAAGTGTTCTTAGGATATAAAGACGATTATAATTTTTCACTTATTTTTAAAACATAGTGATAGCGTTTGATAATGTTTACGTTTTTAGTTTATGTTTACATAAATTTTATAAATTATTTTTTGTTTATTTTTAAAAAAACATAAACTACAAATGCGTTTAGTTTAAACAAAATGTTTGAAAAATTTTAAAAACATAAAATAAAAATATATGTTTGCTCAGGCTTAAAATATTTATATTTATATTTATATATATGTTGTAATTATGTTGTATTTATATAATAGTTAATATTATATATTATTAGGCTTAGGCATTAGGGCTAAAAGTGAAAAAAGAAAAGAAAAGAGAGGGTGAGAGCAGCGGCAGTCACAGAAGGACTAAGGGATTGTTTTT